GCTTGCCTCGAAACATGGGTTAGAGCAGTGGTCACCAACCAGTAGATCGGGATCTACTGGAAGATCATGGAGCTTCTGAGAGGTAATCCCTATTGGTTTTGACTGGTGGAACACTAGCCAGGAGTCTCCTGGAATCCGCCTCCATCTCCTGCAGCCAAACTGGAAGAACGGCCACTAACAGCAGGTCTAAGACAGACTCTTCCCCCCGCCCCCGCACTGCTCGTGGAAACATCGGACATCCCCCTTGCAGCCCCTAGGGGTGGTATGGCACAGGGTCTCCACATGCTGCCCTTGCCTGCAGGCACCACCCTGCAGCTCCCATTGGCAGGAAATGGCGAACCACACCCAATGGGAGGCGTGGGGATGGTGCCTAGGGATGGGGGACAGTAGGCAGCACCACCTGCCCCTCCTCCTCAGGAGTCGCTGCTGGACATGGCCACTTTTGGGACTGGTGCAGAGGCAGAGCGGGAATGCCTGCTATAGCCCCACTGCACCACCTCCTGGTAGCCACCTGAGATAAGCAGTGCCCAGTCAGAGCCCACATCCTGAATCCCTGCCTCAGCCCTGAAATCCCTCTTGCACTTCAATTCCCTTACCCAAGCTGAGCCCAGAGCCTCTCCCACGCTCCGAACACCTTGGCCAAGACCAGAGCCCTCATCCACATGCACCCCACCCTCTGGCCCCAGCCTGGTAAAGGAAAAGAAGTTGAAGGGGTGGTGAAGGAAGAATGGAGTCAAGAGCAAGGCTCAGGGAAGGAGGTGGGGCAGAAGTATTTTGATTTTAGGTAAATCCTGGATTGCACTTAAAGTGATCTTGTGCTTAAAAAGATTGGAGATTGCTTGGTTACAGTGCAGGAAGCACCATTCAGTGCTTCAATTTTAAGGAAGCCTGTATGCTCTCAGAGCTTCAAAAAGAATTTTGCAGCAGAGCAGACTGAGGCATATGGAACTCTGCACTGAAATGCAGCATTCTTAATTAGGGATGTCAGATTGCGTGTAATTGAATAGTCATGTAACCATATCAAATTTTAGCTCTTACATGACTATTCGATAGTCCTCGGGGGGGCAGGGCCAGCAGCCAGTGTGCTTTGGTCCCATTCCCGGGGTGCCCCCGGCACCTCATGCTGCTGCCTCTGTATCAGAGACAGCAGCATGGGATGGCAGACAAGTGCCGGTCCACAAGGGCTCACCATGGACAGAGGTTGCTCTGCTGCAGCAGCAGCCCCTCTTGGGGGGAGGGTGAGCTCCCCATTGACACAGGTTGCTCCAACAGCAATTTCTGTCCACTGTGAGCCCAAGCCCACTATGGACAGAGGCTGTTTCATGGCAGCCTCCCCTCCCCCGAGCCAGCTCCCCCCAGCACCATCTCCTGCCTGCCTCTCAACCCTTCCACTGCCTCTGTAGGAGGCAGTAAGGGTGGGGGCAGGTGAGTCCATGGAGCTGGCATGCACAGAGAGCCAGCTTAAAAGGTAGCTCCTCATGCATATCAGCTCCTGCCCTCCCCCCCCCCCCCCCCTGCTTCTCTATAAGAAGCAGTAGCACAGTGGTGGGGGTAGGTTTAAAAGCAGGCTCCCCCCAGGCATGAGCTCCTGCATCCCTATACAGAGGCAGCACAGGGAAGGAGAATAAATGTAGTATACAAGATTAACCAATAAACCCAGGCTTATTGACTAATCATGTAGATGTCTACACATCAATATCTCTATTCTTAATCCCTGAAGATGTCAGGAGTCTTCTCCCTGCATCCTGCAATTTAAGCGTTGCTTATCCTAAGCTAAGCTATACTGCAAGAAATTGTTCCTTTCCAGCTCTTTCCAGCATGTGTAATATACAGATGCATACTCCAAAATAGGTAAGCTGAGGAAACTTGTTCACCTCATGATGTCAATAGTTTGGGGACATCTGGAGTGGGGGAGAGAAACAGAGAGAGCGCGTATGAATGTTTTAAGCTGATTTTGTGAAGAAATCCTGACAAGTGTAAGGACCTGTAAATACACTATAGAAAACCGACAATGCAATTATACTACATTTAACCTCTAAACAATTTGGAGTGGCTCCAGCATCAATAAAATTATTGCCCCTGCACTGGAGGCACGCTGCTGCAATGGCAGATAATACAGGAAAGAATAAGAGAAGAAAGTGACAGTCAAGTCCCAGAACATGCACTTCATAACCTTGGAGTTTTGGTCTCTGCAATGCATCCCATACAATACAAAATTTTGTATCCACATCTGCAGCGGCATTTGTACCTGTGAAAGTGAGCCATGGATAGCCACACATTTGCCTTGTTCTAAATACAAAATTTGTACCATATCTGCAAAAATAAGCCACAGATGTCCACATCCACAGATGCAGATACCCACGGATTTGCCAGATTCATCCCAGTGAGAACTCCACTCAGATCTGTGAACGAGTTTTGTAACCTTAATAAAATAGCATGAATTGAGCATTAATCCAAGACAGCCATTTGTAACAAGGTACTTGCGAATGGAGTCCTTACATGGAATATAGGTGGGGTTATTGCTCATTATTGCATAACTCAGCTCTTCCTTGCTCTCTCACCATCAGCATTCTCATAGCTATTGATTAAAATAAATAAGTGCATGTGCCAGGCCCTTGCCTCCATTCTTCAACACACATGCCTCACCTCCAAAGTTAGCAAGCCTCCCAAGCCGTGTGACTGGCACCTTCCGTTCTCGGGCTCGTTCACTGAGCTGCATAGTTGGGAGAAAAAAAAAAAGAAAAAAATGTGCAGTGACACTTAGCCAGGAGCAGTTGATACTAGCAAAAAAAAAATAAGAATATAACTTATTGATGCTTGAAGACCTGAAACACACTACAAATTGGCATTTCAAAAATTTCACCATAAGTACTTCGAAGGCACTGATTCCTGTACCTCATTAAGCTCATGTTTTTCCAAGTGAACACAGTGTAACATGCAAAGTGTAAAACAAAGCAAACATTAAACATATCCAGTAACAAATACTGTGGGAGCATTAATTGAGCATTAATCCAAATACTGTGGGAAAAGAAGTCAGAGAGATAAAAAGGTTTGCATTCATCTCTAAGTAGTCTATATCTATAGCTACTTCCTTGGCAGCTGTTTGATCCACAGGATATAGGAGGGTCCACAAAAATCACACACCTGCCTGCATTAGTGAAGTTAATGCTCCTGAAAGTTACCAGGTTCATAAAACTAGAGACTACCTCCAGGTACAGATGCAATAGAACATGGGTTTACTAAGAGCAGCCCAGTAGCTTAAGTGAACTGTGTACCCTAGAGCAGGATCTGGAGAAAAAGGAAGCAGAGACAAATGACTTGCAAACCCCTCTGCTGTGCACTCTCATTCCACTACAGCCTGTCTGACTTACGAACCGGTTACAGATCAAGCAATTAGTCGTAAGCGCGAATCGTGTTCGTAACTCGGAGTCAGCCGTTTACGACATTTTTAGTCGTAACTGCGAACGGTCGTAAGTCGACGGTTCACAACTCGGGGACTGGCTGTATAGTTCCTCCCTCTTTCAAATGAGGGCATGGTGACCCAGCCAGCATTTGCATGATTATGCCACCAGGTAAGCTTATATGCTGGGGTGGAAGTTCAAGCTTCCCATATGCTATCCTAATAGTGTGGGCCACCCTGATCTGGAGGGATCACTACCACAATTCAGGGGAATTCAGCATATATGGCCCATGCAATCTTTTACACCTCTGAGATTGCCAACAAGCCAGCAAAGTCCCCTCTGACCAGAATGGATTTTTTTCAGAGAACATTCCTTGTCACTGCCAAAGCCTACAGCTGTCTGCACCTGCTCCGTGTCTCAGGCTGCAAGCTAAGAGTAAATATAGACCCTTAAATATCCTAAGCATGCAGTGGCCCATATGGGCCCAGCACAGGGTATGACAGGTGAGCACCTGTTAATAGAAAACAATTCTAATTTCAAGTACACATTCTAACCATTCTCTCAAAGATGATGAATGTGGGGATGGATTGACAGAATTAACATTGCATAGATTAAAACAACCAAAGATACCACCACCATTTTCCCACCCACCCAGCAAGCAATAAGCAAGATTCAGAGGACAAGGAGAAGCAGGAAGAGAGGGTGAGGAAAGATGATTGCATGGCTAATGCACAGGACTAGAAACCAGGAATAAACGCATACCATCTGTTTGTGAGGTTTGTGCTCCGGATCAGTTTTGGCCTGCCTGGCTTTATCAATATCTTCAGCTGTTAGTCCACTGACAGAAGAATGGTCCTGGTGAAAAGCCCTGTTTTGCCCAAAAGCAGCAGCAAAAGGATTTCCAGGGTCCCTAAAGCCTTCAAATAGCTTTGCATTCACTTTGGCAGAGAAGGGAATCTGCCCTGGACTTGCATCTCCAGTCTCACTGATATTTCTAAAAGGTCCATTCGTGACATAGGTGTAAGATGGACCCTCTGTTCCGCTACCTTTGTGGGGCTGGTTTGGAGATGAGATGTCCTTTGCAGCATCTGATGACTCTGGCCCCGAGAAATTGTAATCATTCCCAAAATCCTTATCGAGATTGGTTATGTTTTCCTGCTGTTCACCCAGCTCCTGAAAATAACATTGGAAATGGGTCAGATACCAGAAATTTTAAAAACCCAAGCACACTCAAAGAAGAGCCACCCAAATGTGAGTGTAGCTAGGTCATATTATCTCCAAGAGGAGATATAACCAATCACACTCCAAACACAGTTTTGGTACATAGGAATGTACAAGAATTCTGAAGACCATTTATATGGAAGACAGTACTTAAGCTAATACAGCAATGGGTGATATGAAAATACATGATGACAATCTGCTGTATCCTTCCCCAAAAAACATTCTTCACTCAAGACTTCAGTTTTTACCCTTCTTGCACTTTCCCATTATTCATAATTTAGATATTTTTATACCTTAAACTCTCACAAGTGCTTATTGAATGTTTAATTGGAGGGCAATTTAACTCAGTCACATGTGGTTTAATCCATGATTAGCAGAAAATAGTATTTCTTTAACCAGCCCGCAAGTTACTGTAGCACAGGGCGGCCCCAGTATACGTTGATACTGCACTAAACCATAGCATTATGAGTCCTCTCATTCCCCACTCTTACATTGCGCAAAAAAATAGACCAAGTTGTGCAAATTAAGGATATTAAAATGCGGGTAACTGACTAGTCGATGTACATTTCAAAGGAGGAATGCGGAAGTGCCTATTGACTAGTCAAAAGACTATTCAATAAGCAAATGCTTATCAGATATTCGACTAGTCTTTAACATACTTTGTGCAAATGGAAGTCAGCCATGGGGAAAAAAATTCCCCACTCCACATCATTTTGCTATATGCCCACTGTTTTTGGACTATCTTGGACATGTAGCAGGGACGCTCTGTATTTATACATTTCATTGTCAGCATTACTATTTTATATGTAAAGCAATAATGTGACTCACAGTCAAGCTCAATGATAGGTTACACTGGACAAACTTTTCCAACACACTTGGATCCTGACTTGCTAGTCCAGATAGTTACAAACATTGCAAAGTTACTGGCAGTATCAAAGCAAGAAACAGAGTATTCGCTCAGTGAGTTATCTAGTGCCTGTGGATTCCAATTACCTGCCTCAGCCATAAGTATTATTGATGCTCCTGAGAAATACAACCCTATCAATGTTATTAATCCTATTACAATCAGGGAGAAAGCAGCAGATTCTAGGCTCTTTCCCAAATGCTAATTATTTTCTCCCATTTGAAGAAGAAAAACAGGACACAGCCTTTCCTGTTACGCAGGCAGGTCTCTCAGTTCTCAGTGCCAACATTACCAGAAAAAAAACCTCTGCAGGCTTAAATCAGTGAGGGGACAACCATCACCACCAACCAGGGTATGAAGTGAGTAAGTTTCTTCTCTTTGTCTACCATATATTTTAGAGCGTTTGTTTGATTAAGAACTCCTCCTAAACAATAAGAGCTAGGACCACTAAATTCAGTATATGGCTTCCTCTTATCGTAACTTAAAGCAGCTTAAGGGTTTGGTTGTGCCAGAAAAATAGGACGTGCTTTGGAATGGGATTGGTTTTATGAGAAGCAAACTGGAAGGAAAAAAAAAAAAAAAAAAGACAATCACCAAATAAAGTAGTCCTCAAAATTGACATCACTGAGCAAAGGTTGAAAGAGACTGAACCAAGATGAGCCAAAAACATAGGAGGAACTTGGAATAGGATTGCTTCTCAATAAACCTTACAGAAAAGAGAAAAGAGAAATCTGGAGTAGTGCTATGGCACAGCTAATTGATGGAAAAGGCTTGAAAAAACTAGAAAATTTTATTGGAAACCAAATTGACAACCCTTTTTTGTTAAAACATAGCAAGTTATAGTTTATAGGGATGGGGGGGCCACTCAAATTTACTAAAAAATTTAAATGGACAAATTTTAACAATCCTTTTTTAAAAAAAATAAAAATAAAAATTAACTTCATAAAAATAACACTTTTTGAAAAATACAATCATTTAAATCAACATGTGTATTTTCCTTTCATTTTCCAAAAATAAAAACCAACTTCACTGTTATGGATCTAAGCAACACCAGGTAAATCTGCTAGTACTGAAGAATTAGTTTTCTTAAATGGTCAATACTTGGGTTGTTTTTCTTTCATCTCTTGCAGCCCTGGCCTTCTAGTGACATACATTCCCTTCTTCACTGAAGCCTTAGACTGCTGACATTTGTATACTATTTTGGCTACAGCTATTAATGAAACAATTCAGACAGCAAGATGTACAGGCAGTCCCCGACTTACGCGGATCTGACTTACGCCGGATCCGCACTTACGAACGGGGCTTTTCTCGCCCCGGAGCTTGCGGGCGGCGGGACCGCCCAGAGTGTAGCGGTCCCGCCACCGCGTCCTCCGGGGCGAGAAAAGCTGCTCCGGGTCTCCCTGGTGTGCTGGGAGGGGACTCCCCAGCACAGCAGGGAGACAGGAGCAAAGCCGCAGAGGCGGCGGGACCTATGCTCCTCCGCGGCTTTGCTCGGGTCTCCCTGGTCTGCTGGGGAGGGAGGAGCAGAGGGGGTGCAGCTAGTGCGCCCCCCTCCCCAGCAGACCAGGCTTTTGTTGCGGGACGCCTGAGGTAGAGCAGCTGGGGTGCTGCCGGGTTGGTCCTGCGGGGACCTACCCAGCAGTGCCCCAGCTGTTCTGTCACAGGAGTCCAGATTCAGCCGCTGTTGAAATTGATCAGCGGCTGATTCCAGGAAGCCGGGGGCAGAGCAACTCTGCCTAGGGCTTCCTGTAGTCAGCCGCTGATCAGTTTCAGCAGCGGCTGAATCTGGAGCCAGTTCCGACTTACATACAAATTCAACTTAAGAACAAACCTATAGTCCCTATCTTGTACGTAACCCGGGGACTGCCTGTATTTCAAGTCTATAAATGCGACCCCCTCCTTTTGCAGAGAAGTACATAAAGAAATGCTATAGAAATATGCCATTGTTTGAGCAGAGCTCTCCTTAACTCTCTCCTGCCAAAGCTGATCAGAACAAGAAAATGCTACCATGTCAGATCCCGGAACCAAAGAGAATGAAGAAAAAAATTAAAACATTTTAAATCTTGGATGACAGAAGAAAAAATAAGATTAAGGTAATGGTGGCAAAAAAGTTATCGCCACCAGCATCAATGACCAGATATTTAGTGGGTCTCTGCAGGTTACAAAAGTCATGGAAAACCTGAACTAAACATGACAACATAGGACCAAAGTGATATTTCATAGATGTTAAGGCCAGAATGAATCATGTAGTCAGGCATCCTGTATAATGCAGGCCATAGACTACCACCTAAGGATGTTAAATATCAACTAATTGACTCATAGAACAGTCAATGCATTTTGCATTGACTATTTGATTAGATGATAGGGCACCTCCGCCTTTGAAGTGTAGCAACAGCCCACTGGGGACTCCAGTTGATCCTGGGATCCATGCTACCACGCCACTGTGAAACGCCAGGAGCAGCCTGATGTTGGGCTCCCTGCAGCGTTTCAAAGCAGCAGCACCGTGTGCAGCCTGGTGTCTGGCCCCAGGCTTCAAGGCTGCTGCCACTTTTAAGTGCTCCCTCCTCTTCCACCCTCCGCCCCCCGCCTCTTTCTGATAGACAGCAAAAAAAAGGGGGGGGGGGGGGGAAGCGACTAGTTGACTGGCATGTCGACTATCTGATAACTATTTGCTTATTGGATGGTCGACTAGTCAACTAATCCTTCACATCCCTGTCATCACCTAGTAATTACTGCAAAGGGTTGGGGAGCCTAAGGCCTGGGGGCCAAATGCGGCCCCCATCTTGCCTGGATCTGGCCCCGAGGCTCAGGGCTCCCGAGAGGAGTTGTATTGATGAGCTTGCACCTGACACTGCAGCAACCACCACCATCCACTGCTGCCCCCTTGTGGGGGTAGAACACAAAACCTACTAGCCTACCCCCTCCCCCCATGCTCTGGTGTGTAAGGGGAATATGGGGAGTGTCCTTCTCAATTAAGCGCCACATCAAAGAGTGGTGGGGTTTGTTTTTTGTTTGGGATTTTTTTTTTTTTTTTTTTTTTTGCTTCTCACGTGTGTGCAGCCCGACTGGTTTTTCTGTAGGTTAGTGGCCCCCGACCCAAAAGAGGTTCCCCACCCCTGAGCTATAACATAACTTTTAGAAAGACATGCAGGTTTGGATTAAAGACTCATGCCCTCCCAGGGCACTAAGCACCAGATTTTCAAGAGATTTCAGAACTCTGGGCATAGAGCATTTGCTTAAGTCTGGTCACAAGGATCACAATAGAAGCTCCTGAGCACTTTTGAAAATCTGGCCTTTATTTAGGTTCCTATATAGGAAAATGACCCCTTTGAAATTCCAGCCCCAATTGTGGGCACTGAAAATCTGGCCCTGAGATCTTCAGAAAATACTATCTACCAAGAGGTATGGCAGAAGAGCTGCAAAACAGCAGAATTCCACAGAAAAAGGAAAGACTGGCTAAGTGGAAAGGCAGTCTTTTTTATACAAATTGATTCTCACAGCCAAATGAGAGAGGTAACTATTAGCAACCAAAGTTTACAGAGAGAAGGTCAGCAGCTTAGGTATTTACAACCCAGAAGAAACAGATTAAAAAAAGGATCTCACCAAAACTGTAGAACCAATGTTTTGACAATGTTGATTTAAAATAATTTTCCCCCAGCGTTCTAGCAGCTATCACCCAAATTTTCCCTGCTCTAGCATTAACAATCCAGTGCCTTAGAACAATGTGTCAACTTTTTTTTATAAAATACCCCCTTTAAAAAAATTATAAGTACCCCCAGTACCTACAGTTTTCAGACAACACTTTTTCTACCATTGCAACACATTTGCTTAAACAACTTAATCATACCCAGGCAGGCAGTGACATTTTTTGGGTGTTAAAAAGTACAAAAAGAATAAAGCGCTGTAAAACTTAAAACAAAAATTCAGTTCTCTCCAAATTTCAGTTGTGTTGACGTACCCCTCAGACTTCTCTCGAGTACCCCAAAGGGTACAAGTACCACTGATTGAGAAACACTACCTCAGAATACTGACAGACCTTGTCAATAGTCTCAGCAGTAACTGGGAGGACCTTATGTAACTCCTGGAGGAACTACACGCCACTGTGCATACGTAGGAATTTATGTCCCAAACAGAAAAATGACTTTGATGGAGAAACAAAGGAAAGACACATGAGCTATCATGCAACCCTCCCTAACCATATGTTTCAGGTGTCTAAGACAGTCAGCAGAGAAGTAAATCACTCTGGGGCAAGAGGTAGGACTGGGCAAGACTCAACAGTGGCTCACATCCCTGCTCCTTTGCTAGTCCTGGCTGGGCTAGAGGCAACAGGACACTCTCTTCCCCTGCATAGCTTCTGAGACTCATCCTCAGATTTTTCCCCCAGCCACTGGAAGCTCTGCAAACCCTCCCCTTTTGTCTCCTCCATCCTCTCCCCTGCTTCTCGCATCCACTGCTCCTCAGCTGCAGAGAGAGGGATCCCTGTACAGGGAGCTACTCCCTCATCCAACCCTTGTGCATCCAAATGCCCTTATGCCCAGACCCCAACCCACCCCCTCCATGAGCCCCACTCCTCCAGCACCAAGACCACTTTGACAAGCAAGCCACTTATACCTGAATCCCCACCCCACCAAGTCCCAACCAGCTGCACCTAGACATGCACCCCACTGATCCCTTCTACCCCAGCACCTGATCACCCTGAGCCCCCCCACCCCCCATACTCCCTAAGCTCTACCCACCCACACAGACTTCCTGTGCTGAGCTACAACCATCTTCAGCTGGACTCTCTGCAGAGTCCTATTACCTTTGAACCTCCCAACAAACTCCTGTGCATCAGATTCCTTCCCCACACTTGGATCCCCCACTGAGCTGCCCACACCTAAATCAGCTCCAACACAGAACCCTCTCAACCCACGCCTAGATCCACCCTGTACACTAGGATCCTGCCTTCCTGAACCTACTTGCCCTCAGAGGAGCAGGGCGCTAGGGTGTTTCTGGGGCAAGTCAGGTCCCTGCACTGTGTTACAGGTAGGTGCAGCTTCACCACTGAGTCCATGTCCTGGAGGAAGCTTCACATTGATCTTCCACCTCTCTGCAGCTAATGTCCACATTCATTTGACAAATAAAAGTTGCCGAATTTTAAAACGTTGTGTATGCAAGATATTTTTTTCTGGCACAGAATGCCCTCAGGAGAACTGTATGTGCAGAGACCACCCATTATCCCTTAGACACAGCTAACCCCTTTCACAGACCAGCAGCAATACAGCCCATGGAAAAAATCAATTAATCCTGGAAACTGATGCATGTGCACGTACAGACACAGACACAGACACAGACACAGACACAGACACAGACACAGACACAGACACAGACACAGACACAGACACAGACTTCCTTACCTGCATCTTTCCCATGGCAGCACTGAACTGCTCTTCAACAGTGGCCTGCAAGGTCCTTGCAACAATAACTGCATCACCACCAAAAATTGCTTGTCGCAACTGTCCTGTTTGGGTTTCTAGAATGGCCTTACTGAGCTTAGCCAAACCTCTGATCAGCATGATGATATCACTTGCCATGACTGGCCCCCTTCAGCGCTGAAAAACACAATGGAGAGTTATGGAACATATTGATAATAAAATAAATTCATTACCTACTCATTGAACTTCTCTTAAGAATCAACATCATGTATCAATTGCCCTTCGCCTCCTTTGGGCAACTGTTCATCTTGGGAATCTCCCTTTAGAGACCCAATAGCAAATAGATCAACACAGAAAGAAGACCTGTTCCTACGAATGTGCACAAAGGATGCTATTTCAGAACTTGTATACCTTCCAGTTAATACAAAACTGTTCTAGCAAAGGCAGAGACAGATAAAAAGCCAATAACCTTAGGCATATGGTCCCACTTCCCCTCCTATTCTATACACACAATATTCAGTGTATGTGTCTGACCATCTGATTATCAAGGTTTGAAATATTTCCTGAATATCTACCTCCTCAAAGTCTAAGCCTGCTAGTCTTAATGAAGAGTACTTGTGATTGTCATACTCTCTCACCCACACACAAACCCTATCCACCATATCCACTTAATTTACATGGACATATCTTCACTCCCCCATCAATAAGTAAATACTGACACTGCATACTAGTTAATTCTATCCTTCCAAAAACATGATACTATCTACACGTTTTGTTAGTCTCTAAGATGCTGCAAGACTATTTTAAGTTTTTAAAACTTAAAACTGTTAAGTTTTTCCAGTTATAAACTAACTCCGTTACCTCTCTGAACCTCCAAAAACAGTTTTTCTAGACCCCAGGGGAGTTGTACCACATGCATCCCACCGGGTCAATTCTTAGCTCACACACAACGACAGATGTGTTTTCAGCTGTCCCCCTCCAACTATCTGCAACAAAATGGGTTCTAGGAGTCCCCTCCTGGTCATGAAGGAGGAACCCAGACTCCCAGCTCCAACATTCCATGTGGGCCACTCAAAGGAGAAGTATGTTTGCATTGCTGTTTCCCTTCTATCCCCATCCATGAAAAGAGCAGCACTGGTGCCTCTTTCCCCTTTCCTGGAAAAACACAAAAAACAAAACTAGTGTTACTTGACCATTTTGCTGTTTTCCTCTCCCTTCCTGAGTAGGTGTCAGGAAGCCCCTCAACTATGCTCCCATGGACAAAGTTTCCACACAGTCTGTGCTAGCAGATTTTTCAAGCACTGCTAATTGAAATATACATCTTAAAGGCATTCTGAACAACATACAAACACACTGATTTTAAAATCTTCCAATGAATGCTGGACCATGTGTCTATTTTAAAGGCAGACTGCCCTGCATTAGTAATAACATAATTTCAGCCTACTAATGTGAACTGTTTATTTTCTAGGTACTTGCTAGATATATTAATTTAGAACAATAAAGTCAAGCAAGTGTAACTCTTTGCCACAGCACCTAGCACAATAGGGTCTCCTAGGCACTACAATAATACAAATAAGCAAAAAGTGATTTTTTCCTGCATATAACTGTTCCTCATATTGGATAAGGCATGGAGTGCAATGTAAACAGGACACTCACTATTCTTTGTATGTTGGGCCAAGTGGGTCTGCAGCTACAGGCAAAATAATGTTATTTCACTTTCATCTCCAGTAACTGTACTGTATACATGATCTTATACCAGGGCGGGCAACCTTTTCAAACCAACGAGCCAAACTACATCAAAATTTAGAACAAGCCGTCAAAGAGCTGTATAAGAATGCCTAATTTGCATGACTGAAAATATACAATGTAATATTATTGATAATTGACATCACTGACAATAGCATAAATGAACCATTGTACTCACAGACTTTATTTAATGTGACTTCTGCCGCCGCATCTTTTCACTTTTTAAAAATTTTTTACATCATAACTGGTCAAATCTAACTTCATTCATGCAATCAGGTTGTCTTTTGTCAATCTTATGGCGGGGGCTGATGATATGGGGGTACAAGAGACTGGGTTGGGATGTACAAGGGCTCAGAGCAGGAGATTGTGTCTCTGATGGATTCCGGGCACAAGGTTGGGGTGTATGGAGGTACAGAAGTGTTATGGCAGGGTACTGGGGATGTGAGGGTATGAGGGGTTCAGATATATGATGGACTCAGGGTTAGTGTGTGCAGGGGTGCAGGAGTGTTATGAAGCTGTGGCCAGATGGGGGCTGGGCCCTAATTAGGGGCTTGTTGGCCAGGCTTCATTTTTAAATTAAGTAAAATATTATGTTGAACACATAAGGTTTCTACATTGTCTTTATTTATGGCAGGAGTGGGGGACCTTTTTTGGGTCGGAGGGGGGGAGGTTCAAAGCATGTGGATCCCGGAGTCAGCAGGACTTCCCCCTGGCTTGGGCTGCATGCAAAGTTCCAACTTTGAAATGCACAAGAGCTCCCACTAGGGCTCTTTTACATTTCAAATGAGGAATGTGGAAGTTCCTATTGACTAGCTGAGTAGCCGATAGAAATGGGACTACTTAGTCCCGGCTCCCACTGCCCAGGGAGTAATCTCCACTGCAGCTCTGCCTTTTAAATGCTGCACGCCCAGCTCCTACTACATTTAAACTACAGAGCTGCAGCAAGGGTAGCGAGTGCCCTCCCCCCCTCCATCAACTGACTGATTAGCCAATGGAAATTCCAACCATTCAATTAGCTGATTAATTGTAATGTAACATCCATAGGTAGGAATGGTGACCCTAGACTCTGTTTGTCAGGGGCTAGAAATGGATGACAGGAGAGAGATCACTTGATTAACAGTTTCTGTTCACTCCCTCTGAGGCACTGTCAGAAGACGGGATACTGAGCTAGAAGGACCTTTGGTCTGACCCAGCATGGAGGTTCTTACAAAGCAGTTAGGGTTTAACCTCATGTTTGCAGTAATGCAAGTAAAGATCACTGTTCAACACACATACACCACATTTTTACACACTTGGAGCAACGAAAGATGGTGCAATTAACAGCAAAATCAATGGACTCATGGAAAATAAAGGATCAACTTTAACATGCAGTCCTTCTAATAAATGTAAAAAATTATCTGGGCGATAAGAGGAGTTCATGAAATGGTTCTGTTACCACACCATAAAACAACGTGGGGGATAAAACACTATTTTGAAAGACTAATTCTGAAATTAATAGAGAAGTCTTATGGAAATAGTGTATTACTTAATGTGCCCTCATCCTCCACAGCTAAATATAACAATGAGCAAATATGACCAGTTCCCTTTTAGTTTTAACTGTAAAGAAGATACCGGGCCAAATTTGCTGCTGCCAAACCACCACTGATTTCTATGGAATTATACTCATTTATGTTAGCAAGAAATTTAACTCTGCCATCCCTATGTGCCCTGCCTGTCATTTGTAAATTCAAAGGCCTCAGTTAATGTTCCCCAGTCCTAAACTGCAGAACGGCAATTTACTGGCAGCACTTAATGCATTTAAAAAGCAGAGGCACAGCAGGGGGGGAGGGGGAGAGACGGACAGGACACTGGGAATGAGCTGGGACAGCTGATTCCCAGCTCAAACCCAGTCCCCCCGCTAAGACTCTTCCTCTAAATGTATTATTTAAAGGTGGTTCTTAATATATTTAAAAGGCAGAGTCGCATAGGAGTTGCTCTGCCCCGGGCTTCCTGGAATCAGCCGCTGATCAGTTTCAACAGGCTGAATCTGGATGCCAGTTCTTACGTACAGATTCAACTTAAGAACCTCAGGCGTCCCCAAGTCAGCTGCTGCTGAAACTGATCAGCAGCTGATTCCAGGAAGCCCAGGGCAGAGCAA